GCCAGGGACAGAGAAGCTAATGGACATAGAAATAATTTGGGAGGGCTTGAATTTCAGCACTGGACATGCTGAATTTTAGTTCAACTACTAGAAGGTAGTAGCCCCTGCTACTACCCTGTTAAAAAACAGACTGTGTCTATGAATTTTCATTTAGAAGCGTATAGTACCTACCTGTTTTTAAGTCAGGAGTATTAATTATTAAATTAAAGCCTGAAAACCTTTAATGTCTTCATTTGAAGTGAGATGAATTAATAGAGGGAAAGGAGCCTAAGGCCTCAGAAACTCACTTAACATACTGACCTATTCTCATTATTGACTGCTCTGAGTGGGTTGGCTTTGTTTCGATTTTAAAGGCTACTCTACATTTCTGGTAAACCACAAGGTAAAGGCTGGTCTCTGAGAAGCAGATGTTTTGCCAGTTTTGAGGCCTTGTGGCTTTCCATAGAGAAGTAACAATACAGGCCACATGAAGCTTTTACTTCCTTTTTTTTTTTTCCCCTTCAGTGGGGCAAATGGTGCTTTTGCACTTGGTAGCAGTCCTTGATACACATTGACATTGGTGGTCTGTGTTCACCACCAGATGTCGAATTCATATTTCTGGAAGTAGTTAGTTTGCAATGTCTCTGAGACATTTGAGCAAGTGTTCCCAGTGGACTTGGACCATAGATTTAGCCTTAGAGATAGTAGGGAGAATCTTGGGTGATATTGAAAGCCAAGGAAGCAATGGAGATCACATTAGGAGGGGTTTGGAGAGCAGAAAGCCTAGAACAAAGCCTTGGGAAGAGCTCTAACATTTAGAAGTTGAGTAAAGAATCTAGCCAGTTGATAGGAGGAAAATCAGGAGAGTTTGGTGCCAAGCAGGTCAACTCTGTTGTTAGAGTTCATGATGGATCCCTTGGCTTTTACCAGTCCCTTTCCACCCTGACCACCCAAATCCAGGCCCTTGTCATCTCATGGCTTGTTTCACTTCTGCATCCAAAACCGGGGAGCTCCAACTGCCTAATGCTATAGGGAGGCAAAGTGATAGAAGATACAGTTCTTGTCTTTTCAGGGCTTACAGACTCTATGCATACGTGAGGGCTTATACAAATAAACAAATGCCAAGTGAAGGGGACGGAATGGTCAGGGAAGTTTTATGTCAGAGGGGGAGGGATTTGAGCTTGGGTTTGAGGTAAACTGAAAGTATCTTGGGTAGGCTGTGGAGAGGAGTAGAAAAGATGTCTGAGTCTAGAGTTCAACAGAAGGTGCAGCGGGCCAGTTGCCATTACTGGACATCTGATTGGAAATGTCGGCGGAGACAGGATCCTAGAGGGTCTTGAATTAAGAGCTAAGGGGTGTAAACACCATTCTGAAGAGGTCAAGGAACTCTTTTCAAGTAGGGGTTGGGGGCTAGACAATATGGGACTCATGATGACATATGTGGTTTTGAAAAATTCCTTGGTAGAGGCTTATACATGGCCGGATGGGGGAGATGGGCTAATAGCCTAGCTAGTAGGAGAGAGAGATAAGGGCTTGGCATGGGACTAGCACTAGAATGGGTAAGAAAGGAGGGCTTTGAAAGACCTTTCTGAGGAAGAATGCTGAGGGCTTGGTGATGTGATGTTGGGGCCAACAGGAAGGGGTGGAGTCACAGGTAATGGTACCATGACTGAAAACGGCTCCCTCTAAAGACTCTTACCTCCATTTTACAGAGAGAGTGGCACTGCAGGAATTGTAGTTTGGACCCTGGGTTTGCATTCTGTCCTTGCTCTGAAGAGTTAGGTGACCTTGGTCTGGTTTACTTAACCATCTGTGTCTCAGCTTCCTTGTCTGGAAAATGCAGATAGTAGTAGTACTTCCTTCTAGGTTGTGAGGGTTTTGGATTAATATATGTGAGGTTCCTAGCATATAGTAGGTACTTTATAACCACTAGTTGAATGGATAAGATTTGGTGATTACATCATAACAAGGAGAAGAATCGGGACTTGAACTCAAGTTTGCCCGAATGTACCACATGATCCTGATGTTTCAGATTCAGCCTCTCTCAGCTGCCGCCTTCATTGTGCCCGTGTCTCCTGTGAGCCTGTGTGTGTCATTTGGCATCAGGCTTACATTCAGATTGCATGGTGCTGGCATTCTACCATCTGACTCATGCCAGATCACCTACCTCAACTCCGTAGAGCACCCCCCTCCTATAACCCGCTTCCCCTTCTCCACCTCTGTGTTTCATGGATGGTCTTCCCACTCCCCTCCACCTCTGCAGATGCTCTTGGTTCTTCATGGGGTGGCCTGTCTTGCTGCCTTGGTGAAGGTATACTGGACTACTACAGGCCGTCCCTCCTCCTGGCTGCCCCTACTGCACTGAGGAGTTACACTTCACTCCTGTATGCTTGGCTGAATGAAGTCTCAGATTGTTCTATCATGACTTCACACACATTTATCTTACCTGCTAAAAATGAATCACAGTTTTAATAAAGGTCTATTGGCTACCCCCTAAAAAAAAAAAAATTCCTCCCAGTGCTAGATGCTAGTAAATACTTAAAGAGCAGATTAAGAAGCATTAATTCTGATGGCTGAGGTAGAGTTCTGGCCCTCCTCTTCTCAACACCTGGGTTAGGTTATCTCACCAGCCTCCTTAACTGGTCTCTGAATGGCTGCCAGTTTGTCCCTAATCCATGACATAGGCCACACTGCCACTGGAGCAACCCTTACCCAGTCTTTCCGTGGACCACTCGTGCTTTAACTTCTCTACTGGCCTACAGTTAGGACCATGACACTTCAGCCTGGCTTAAAGGCTGTCTGCAACCTGATCCTCTCCTGCCTCTTCAGTCTTATCTGCTGGCACTCCATTCTGTATACCCTGTCCTCCTTGCAGTTCCCAGAATGTTCTGTATGCCCTTGCTGGCTGACTCCTCTGCTCGAAGCCCTGCTGGAGCCCACCTGGCAGGCATGTTCTTCCTTGTCACTTCCTCTAAGACATCAGCAGAGTAAGTTGCTTCCTTCTCCTAGCCCCATTCATAGCCCTTTGTCCCTCTGCTGCTTTTCTAAGGGCCCAGAAATTGATCCCTTCTCTTTCCTGCCGGCCTGCCCGCCCGCCAGCCCGCCGGCCCACCGGCCCACCGGCCCACCGGACTGGAGCTCCTTGAGGGCAGGGCAATCTCATTGCCTTGCAGCATTCCCAGAGGAGATGCTCTGCACAGAGCTCAGGATGCATGTTGATCATACAAGTAACAAAGGTCACTCTTCTTTAGATTAGAAGAGAGCTGCTTTTTTGTGCCTTGACAGATTTTTCCTTTGAACTATATAAATTATATTGGAAACCGACAATGATGAGTCATATCTTAGAAAGGGGGTGAAATCTGAAAATATAGAGCCTCCAGGAATGGAGTAGGAGGTTGCAGGTCGGTCTTACAGGCCAAGTCTGGCTCTTCACTGAATTTGCCCGACTGGTCTCAAACACCGGGAGTGGGAGGGACTCTCCTCCCGGTGGGCAGGTGATTTATTGGCTGGGAAGCTTTCGCGGTGATTTAGTTGTGAAACGGCGCCCTGCGAGGTGCAGGCTAATGCCTGGGCCGGGCGGAGCTGCCGCCTACAATCCCGGGCCGGAAGGGACCGTGAGGGTCGTTGGGGCCAGCCCCTCATTTCGCAGTCCGAGGGCGGTGGGCGTGCGGCTGTCGCGCTGCTGACTCTGCCCGCCTGGAAGGAGGACTGGAGACGGAGCGGCCTGGGAAGGGTCCCGAGTGGCGGCTCAGCCCGGCCCGGGCCCCGCGGGTGCCCTCTGCTCGCGCTCACCGCGGTAGGGAGGAAGTTTGTGCGCTTTACTGCTCGGATTTACTCCTGCTATTCGGAGGGAGGAAACCGAGATACCAGCGCGGGGGCCCAGAGGCCCTGGCCGTGGAGCCTTCGGGCTGGGGCCGGGCGGGGACGGAGCTCGGGGCCGACGGGCGGCGCGGTGATCCAGGCCGCCTTTTGCAGCCGCCCGCGGCCGCGCCGGGCTTTGCGCGCCGCGCTCCAGCCTCCTCCCCCGGCCGCGGCGGCCCCAGCCCCGCGCCCCCCGCGCCCCGCGCCGCGCGGCCCCGCCGCGGTCACACGCCGAGCCGCCCCGGCTGCCTCCGCCCTGCGCTTTGTGGAGCCGGAGCCGGAGCCCGAGCCGGGTGACAGGCGCGGCCTCTCGCTGCCCGGACCCGGAGTGCAGCCGGCGCGGTGTACCTGTGGCTGCAGGGCCGCCCGCCCGGGAAGTGTCGCGGGGGTCGGTCGAGCGGGACCAGGCTTCGAACCGGGAGCTCCAGGCCGGGGGCTCTGAGGTGGGGGGCTGGGGAGCCGGGAGCTGCCTCCACGGGGCTGGGGAGGGGCTGCCTGGAAGGAATGGGACAAAGTGAAAGTCTCCGGACTGCTGGGGTGGGGGTGGCGGTGGGGGTGGCGGTGGGGAGCGTGGGGAAGAAGGAGGGGGTGCTGGTGATTATTTGGTGCCTTGGACTGGCTTTTAATGACGGCGATGGGGGTTCGGGCTCCCAGTGGGCTTCCGTGGATATCGGTGCCTTCTTGGAGAATTCCTCGGATTAACGAAAGGGCCTTTTAACCCTTCTAGGATGACCTTTTACAGAAAAGTCTTGAGGTTTGATTCCTTTTTCCTCCTTTCTGCTCAACACTCTGGGAAGCTTCGTTCTCAGGTGGAAAGCAGTTGTGCTGTTTTATTGAAACACGGCGCGTATTTGTTTATACCTTGGTGGACCAGCGCCGAGACTGTGGTACCGAGAGCACACATTGCTTCTTAGCCTCAGACCCAGGATGTCCTTCTCCCAAACGTGTGTGCGATTGGGGTTCCGATGACGGCTGTCCAGGGCCTGCCCTGGCGGGGGGTCCCAGCTGTACTGCTGAAATTGTCTCCCAGCCTAGTCAGTATTCCCTAGCTCAGACTTTTTTGTGGTGGTTATTCTGCTGATTGCAGATATCTTTGCTTTGCTGACATCCTGTTTTGGTTTTGGTTTTTACATCCCATTTGTTGTTTCTTTTTATCACAGAAACGCTTCGTTAAGGGGCTCAGGCAGTACGGCAAGAACTTCTTCAGAATTAGAAAGGAGCTGCTTCCCAATAAGGAAACAGTGAGTACAATTGGACTTTATGTAACTTGATTTTTTTTTTTTTTCCTTCTTTGCCCCTGCTGCTTCTCCGCACTTGATCTTATGAAATGGTTTCCTTTAACCCTGTGCTGTGCTCAGACTCTGGCTGGCCCCTAAGATCTGCTTCATTTTACTTCCTTTACTTTTAGCTCCTGATTTTAGGTAGTAGTGACAGATTATGCTTTATCCCCCCACAAAGAAAGAGGACTTACCTTGTAAGAACAGAAAGGTCTTTGGCAACAGAGGGTTAGTTGGGGGTTGTCTGGGGTGTTGAGCCATTAACATCTAATTGTAAATATAGTGGCTGAAACAGGAAATGTCATTTACCACCAATTGGATTTGGTTATTGACAGAAGGCATCAACCGAGCAATAGAATGAAGAGATCTGTGGCTCACTAGACTTTGAATTCTATGGGGACTTTTTCTTTTTTTAATGTTGCTTATGTTTTGAAGAGTAGTTTTAACTCTTTAATTTTCCAGCCTTAAAAGTTTGCACTTTTCAGGGTGCCTGGCTGGCTCCGTTGGAAGAGAATGTGACTCTTGATCTCAGGGTCATGAGTTCGAGTCCCACGTTGGGTTTAGAGGTTACTTAAATAAATAAATAATTTTAAGTAAAAGTTTGCACTTTTCATTGAACAGATAGATACACAAGGATTCTTATAAATTGCTTAAATGAGCCTTTTATAAATTCCTTTGATATTTCACAAAGCTGAGAATCCCATCTTTTGCTAAACTTGGGGTAGGAGGGTTTGCTGAGGAAAGTTCAGAGTAAAGTTATATAAAGAGAATACTAGCAGGGGATTCAGTCTCATTCACCTGAATTCCTTCCAGGTGGAATTGGAGGGGGGTGGAGAGTTCTTCTTCTTGCTGAGCCAGGGAATGGGTAAGCTGGGAATGGAGTGGGACCAACCAAGTCCCAGTGTCTGTGGCCTCTGCAGAACCTAGTTACTGGAAGTGCTTCATGGGCCTTGGGGATGGAGGGTGAATATTTAGACATTGAGCTGCTTTCACTCCACCCCCACCCTCCCTGAGTGAAAGGAGGAAATGAAGAATATCCAGTATAGAAGGAGCCGGGTTGTTTTGGTTTGGTTTGGTTTTTAGTTTTCTAATTGGGTGTTGTTGATTGATTTCCTCCTATTCAATTTTGATTCTTTTATTCTGAGTTGGTTGTTTTTGTTGTTGTTTTTAATGAACTGCTTCTAGACACTTTTTCTGTATGGTATCTTATGTGAACAGCAGTAACTCATAATAGGAAAGAAAGGTTCTGAGATTTCAAGTATAGCCTTATATAAATCGGTGGTTTGCATCAACCAGTCATACTTACATTAAACTTTTAATATTTTTTATACATTTAAATATGCTGAGATGGGTCATTTTGAAAATGGTTAAAAAAAGAGAGAACTGTTGATAGACATTAAACTAAAATATATGCTGTAATTGAGCTGTGTAATCAACTTTTTTTTTTTTTTTTGCTCTTCCCAGAACAGATTGGAAAGAGGTATTTAAATGTGGAAGAGTGAAAGAAATACCTTTGAGTTTTCTGAGGATTTCAATTATTTGAGGTTTGATATGTACTTTTATAAAACTAAAATGCTTTACCCAAGTGTAGGAATTTTGGTTTGGCCAAATTGGAGTGAAAGTGAGATCCATGAGTAGGTGTGGTCTGATGCTCCAGTTTTCTCTCTCCCTGTGCTCTGCTAGAAGCTGCAAACCATGAAGAATTTGATAGAAGATATGGCTTGACAATTATTTTATCTTTCTGTTTTAAAAAATAAACTTATAATAGTAAGATTAAACATTAAATCTAAAATCTACCATCCAGCATTTGGGAAATGCCGGGCAATTTTATCTAGTGTTTTATCTCTTTAGTGGAAAACAGATCTGAATAACATTTAGCCTAGGTAAGGGTCTTCTAATCCTTTTTTTTTTTTTTCCCTTGCTTTTGGTTGTCCCTTATCCTTACCAATGATGTCTGACTCAATAAGTAGTCTTTTTCTCACCCACAGAGAAGTTACTGCTACGCCAGCCTTTTGTGCTGGTTCTCTCTAGTCTTTTCTAGGCACCTCTGTCCTGAGACCCTTCCTTCCCCATGACTCCCTGCCATCCCTGTTTTCCAGCCATGTTGCTTCTCTCCTCACTTCTCCTCTGGCACCCAGCAGCCTTCCTGTTTCCAACCTCTTCATCAGGGCACGATCATTGGCGCTAACAGGAGAGTTGTTGGCAGCCCTGGAGGGTTTATTATGGCTGACATTGGCTAAACGTTCCTAGTGTCCTGCGGTCTTTTGCCTACAATTGGGGGAGTTTGGTGGTAGGGTAAATCTCTTAAGTATTCAAAATCATCTGAGAGAGAGAGGCACTCATTTTATATTTTCCTTAGTTATCAACATAGCCAAGCTAATCATTCACAACTCCTAGGGTGGAGAAGGCAAAGGTTATTTTTCATTTTTGCTGCAGAAAATGGGAAAATTTGCAGGTACTAGTGTCCTTGGTTCAGAATTTTCTTGGTAGACTTCATATGGTCATGCCTCTTTTTATGTCAAATCCCTCTAATCTAGATACTTTCCACATTCTCTTCTATTTGCCACAATTATTGACTCATTTCTTTGCTGTTCTCAACTGACTTGAAACTTCAGAAGGGTGTCAGCATCCAAAAGAACACACCCAACTGGGCATGGTGTGGGGGTCACCAGACCTGTGTTCTATTCCTGGCCTGACGGGTCGCTTATAGTACTTGACGACCTCTTCTAATTGCCGTGTGCTCTAGCTGTTCATTGGGAAGTTCAGGTCAAATCCTGACAAGGATTGGAGCATTATCTGCTCTAAAATGGTGTTTCTTTGTGTGAGAATTATATAGATGCCAGAATCTTTATAAAATGTTGGCACACCTTTGGCTGCTGTTGTGCCCTAGAGCAGAGTGATGGTTCTCGCCTCCTGTGGGACCTTCCGCAGATTACTCAGTCTCTCTGTCCTTAACTGCCCGTGTCTGTAAAATACGGTGATCCTTCTACCCTCTAGAATGGTTTTGAGAATTTAAATGAGCTAATGTCTACAGAGAGTGTATAAAAACATTTGAAAATGACTCTTCTTCCCATCCACCCCAAATACTTTTGGTCTACGTAAGGGTCCTAGCTACCTGAAGTAGCTAAATGCTGTGGAAGGTACGGAATTATTTTCCGCTTGTAAACATACCAAACCTGTATGAAAAGAAATGACCTGTTTCTTATCTTCTGTCTTGTGAAAACCCCTATTCATTGAAAAACTGGGAGGGGGTGAAGGGCGGTGCCTAGTTTAAAGGATGCATTTCCTCTGTCTTGAAGCTTTGTTGAGGAGACTTCCATCCTTACTGGATCATTCAGTGCAGTTTTGCACACAGGTTCCTGGTGAGCATGGACATAAACAGCTTTCCTATTCTGTTGGCTTCTGGTGTTTGTTACCCAAGAGCTAAATCTGGCTTTTCTCTGAGAACAGTGTCTGTGATGGTAGAAAACCAACCGTTTATCAGAAGTTTAGTTGAGTGGGTATTACAGGTCAACCTCATGGTACCCAAGAGAATAACTGTAAGTCAAATATTTTAGTGTCCTGTTGGTACAAATATCCTGACTTACTACCTTTCTCCCATTCTTCTTTTCTCTATAACTGATTACCTTCTTTAATACGTTTATGAGTAATTAGTAGTAAGATATGGTAAAGGATCGTTGCTGAGCATCTCAGATTCCCATTGGCTGTATACCTCTTCTCTCTCAAGACACTCTTTGGCCTAATCCACATCAGAGTCTTGGGTGTTAGTGCGTTTGTGTAAATCAGAGCGAGTGTCCTAGTGGCTGAGCTTCTTGAGATGATGGGCAGTCAGGCCTCCAGGGTATCGCTTTAAGCACTGCCACATAATCTTTGGATCGATGAATTACATGACCTCTGATGCTAAGATAATGCTTGAGAAAATAGGAGACCTAATAGAATTGAATCTTAAATGACCAGGAAGGGAACCCATATTGTAAATAATACAAAATTATGGGCGTTCCAAAAATAATTCTTTGTTTGAGTTTTATACACATTGCAGTTTTCTTCAAAATCATGAGATGATTACTCCGATGACAGTGACATGTATCTTCTTTCACACTGAGCACATGTCTGTGTTGTTTGATTCAAAGACTTTCCCTGTCTGACACCTGGATGATTGTCCCTTGAATCCTGGCTGGCCTTTGTGTATAGCTCTATCTACTGTTATTCAGACAAATTCAGCCAGCATCGGATTGCAGACAGGAAATGCTTACTCAGTGACTTACCTCAGATGCAGCTAACATTAGTGAGAAGACAGTGTGATCTGCCCCAACTTGGTGGAGAGGAGAGGTGCTTCCAGCATGTTATTAGCCTGTGGAAGGAGGTGCAAAGGGTGTGTGCCTTGACTGTCTTTCTCATCTCCGTAGTTTTATTTTTGTGCACCTAGCCCAGTAGGGATTAAGCTCGTGTTGTTTGTAATCTCGGTTACTAGCACATTAATATTTTCTATACTAAAAAACTCATTTTGTAACCCACTTCCCATTTTCAGAGCTAAATATTCCGTATAGCTTAATTTAAAAAAATTTTGTATGCCCACCGAGCACTGTAAAGGGTGGGATGTCTATAACGAGAACCATGGTGCCATCCGTGCCCTGCAGCAGGGTAGGTGTACCGTGTGCATGCTTTCCATGTTTGGCAATGTGTGCTAAGGGCCCTGGTGGAGGCTCAGGCCCACAAAGTGTGCACAAGAGATTTGGGGCTGGGGGGATGCTGGAAGGCTAATTGGAGGATGTGGTGTTTGAACCTCCAAGGAAGGATATGTTTTTTGGACAGGCCATGGCTGGGAGGGTGGAAGAAAAGCAGCTTTCCAGCTGTAGGAAATATCATGAGCAAAGGCGTGGAGACAGGAAATTGCAAACCCTGCTCGGCACATACAGTAGCCTGGGTGGAGAGGAGGTCTCCAGGGCTGATGTGGTCAGACTCAG